TGAATGGCAATCCTCTTACTGAGTCGTCCTCTCTACGTCTTCTTGGATTATCGCTTACTACTGACCTTTCATGGAAACCATATATACAATCGGTTGCTAAATTAGCTTCTGCTAAGGTTGCTTCTCTTTATCGTGCTCGCCATTTCCTTACTTCTGATTCCATTCTCTACCTCTACAAATCTCTTATTCGTCCCTGTATGGAATACTGTTGTCATATTTGGGCTGGTTCTTCTAACGATTCACTTTCTCTTCTTGACAAGGTCCAAAAACGCATTGTAAATGTTGTTGGACCTGGACTATCTGCTAAGCTTGAACCTCTTTCGCATCGTCGTAAAGTTGCATCTCTTTTTTTTTTCTACAAATACGATCATGGTCACTGCTCAAAGGAGTTATCATCTCTAGTTCCATCAACTAAAATTCATTCTCGTTTTACTCGTCATTCAGCTAAGTCTCATTCGTTTACTGTATCTGTCCCTGCATGCTCTAAAAACTTTTATTCATCTAGTTTTTTTCCCCGCACTTTAATCCTTTGGAACTCTCTCCCATCTTCATGTTTTCCTGACTCATACAACCTTCAACTTTTCAAGTCTTCTGTCAACCGTTTCCTTGCTCTATAACTCTGTTCTTTTTTTTTCCTAGTAACTCCCAACTTAATAGTGGTTGCTTGCAGCCTTGTTGGGAGTGAATGCAAATAAATAAAAAAAAAAAAAAAAGCATTTGGACCGGATGAAATCAATAGTAACACAATTTTAGATTGCTTTAAACAAATAAAATATATTCTTTTTAAAGTCTTTAAATCGTCAATAGAACAAGGAGTCTTTCCTGATCAATTGAAAATTGCTAAAGTCATTCCACTTTTCAAAGGTGGTGACAAATCTGATATAAGTAATTACCGGCCTATTTCTATCTTATCTATATTTTCAAAAATACTAGAAAGAATCATGTTCAATAGAGTATTTAATTATTTTAGTTTAAAGAATTTATTATACAAAAATCAGTTTGGCTTTAAAAAGAATAACTCAAGTGAGCATGCAATTATTCAGTTGGTGCGTGAAATTTTCAATTCTTTTGAAAAATCTCAATTTATATTAGGAATTTTTATCGATCTTTCAAAAGCATTTGATACTGTCGATCATGACATTTTGCTTTATAAACTTTGTTATTACGGAATAAATGAAAGAGTAATTAAATGGTTTCAAAGTTATTTATCGAACAGAAAACAATTTGTTTCTAGTAATGAACTTAATTACAAACAGTTTTTAAATGTTTCCTGTGGTGTTCTGCAAGGTTCCATCTTAAGCCCTCTTTTATTTCTAATGTATATCAACGACTTGCATAAAGCATCAAATCTTCTAAGTATTATGTTTGCTGATGACACAAACTTATCTCTCTCTAACAGTGACATCTATCTCCTATTCTCCATGATGAATAAAGAACTTCAAAACATATCTAAATGGTTTAAAAGTAACAAATTAACATTAAATATAACCAAGACAAAATGGATTTTTTTCCACCCGCTCTCCAAAAACGTTTTCTACTTCCAAATCTACCAAAAACTCTTATTGACCATATTGAAATTAAAAAAGGTTCTGTAATTAAATTCCTGGGGGTTTTTATTGACGAGAACATCACATGGAAACATCATAAGATAAAAAAATTATAAAAACACGTTTGAAAAAACAAAGAAACATGCAAAAAAATATTATTATGCATGGTTGTTGAAAAAAACACGCGGAAACACACAAAAGACGTGGAACGTGATTAAGCAGATAATCGGTAAAAATAAATATCCAAAAAATAATTTGCTACAAAAACTATTAGTTAACGGGAAAATGATTTATAATAAAGAAGTCATAGTTAAAAAGCTCAATAAATTTTTTCTTGATATTGGCCAAACTTTAGCTGATAAAATTCCAAAAAACACCTCAAACTTTGAATCTTATATGAAATCAATCAATACATCTATGAAAGAAGTAAAGTTAAACATAAATGAGTTGCAAAATGCATTCAGCTGTCTAAAAAGTAATAAATGCGCTGGCATAGATAATATTAACGTGAATGTTGTTAAAGCAGTGTTTGATATTATTAAACCGTCACTGTTTTACATTTTTAACCTTTCACTAGAATCCGGTATTTTTAATTTCTCCGGTATTGTACCGGAGAAATTCAAAATTGCCAAGATCATGCCTATTTTTAAATCTGGCTATGACACGATTATGTCTAATTATAGACCTATTTCTGTCTTACCATATTTCTCAAAATTGTTAGAACGAATTATGTATGATAGGCTTAATACTTATTTAACTGAGAACAAATGAAACTGAAAATCATATTATAACTTGTGGTGTTCCCCAGGTATCAATCCTAGGGCCGCTCTTATTCCTACTCTATATTAATGATTTAAACTTAGCATCCAAAGTTTTTAATGTTATTTTGTTTGCTGATGATTCGAATTTTTTTTACTCACACAATAATATAAAAGAACTGTTTAGAATATCTAACGAAGAATTATTAAAAATAAATGACTGGATTACAAATAATAAACTTTCATTAAATGGTGAAAAAAATAAATTTATCTTGTTCCACAAACCTCGTAGGGGAGATAACCTTTCTCTAAAATTACCCAATCTCTTTATGAATAAAACAATTATTAAAAGAGAGTCAACTGTTAACTTTCTAGGAGTGATTATAAATGAAAATTTATCATGGAAATATTGTATTAAATCTATTGAAAACAAAATCTCCAAAAATATTTCAATGTTATATAAAATTAAACCATTTCCTAATATTTAGTCTTTAAAAATTATATATTTTTCATTTATTCATAGTTATCTTTCTTATTGCAATATTGCATGGGGAAGTACTAATTATGGAAAACTTAAAAAAATCTATAGCAAACAAAAACATGCATGTAGGATTATATTTGGCGTTAACTGAACTGTTAATGGTGAATCTCTTCTAAGCGAACTTAATGCACTTATTGTTTATAAAATTAATATATACCAAGTTATGCTTCTAATGTTTAAATCAAAACATGGTTTGTCTCCTAATATATTTCACTCTTACTTCACTAAAATTACTCATAAATACCCAACAAAATTTTTAGTTGATATGTTTGTTATTCCAAGATCTTATTTAAAACTCAGCTCATTTCAAATTCAATACCGTGGACCATTTATATGGAAAAGTTTTTTGAAAAATATTATTAAAAATAAAACTCTTCTAAACTTCTCCCTAGAACAATTCAAAAAAAAATCTAAACGTTTTCTATTAGGAAAAAACTTCGATTATTAAAATTTCTTTTAAAAATAGTACCTAAAATAATTAAACTGAAAAAGTCATCACTCTCTTATTTTTGTCTTGATTTATTTCTTATCTATAAATAATATATATATATATATATATATATATATATATATATATATATATATATATATATATATATATATATATATATATATATATATATATATATATATATATATATATATATATATATATATATATATATATATATATATATAACTAAAAAAAATGTTTATTTATATATCTTATTATACGATTTACTACTTGTAATATATAGTATTGTATTTTGTAATTTTTAACTTGTTACATAAACTGAAGGCAACAATGTTAAGGGGGCTTGGCGATAAGACAATATACGTCTTCTTCTTGCTCCGGCCATATATTATATATGTACAATCTTTTTTTATTGTAAATTTTATCAAACGGCAAAAAAAAAAAAAAAAAAAAAATTATAAACTATGTTTGCTCGAAAGTATCAAAAAGTATTGGAATTTTATATAAACCGCGTACTCATTTAGATAAAATTATTTTAACTCAACTTTATTACTCTTTTATCCACAGTTATATAAGTTGTGGAGTTGTAGCCTGGGGTAGCACTGATCAAAGCAAGTTACAATGTCTCTATCGCCGTCAGAAACATGCGATTTGTTTAATTAATTCTGCGGATCGGTTCGCACATTCCTCAATATTTTTTAATCAAATGAAAATCTTAGATATATATAAACTAAACGTATATAAAAATTTATCTTTTGTCTATATGTGGAAGCATGATTTATCTCCTTTAATTTTTAAAGATCTTTTTATTTTGAAACCATTAAACAAGTTTAACATGAGGAATAAGAATTATTTAAATAAACCATTCTGTCGAACCAAATTCAATCAATTTTGTATCACTTATCGTGCAGCTCATCTCTGGAACAAAATTATTTTGCCTAACTTCGATTTACCCCTAACTTATTCTATTTTTAAAAATAAATTAAAAGACCACATTCTTTCTATTGAAAATTTCTTAGAATATTTTTAATTTATTTTGCGATAAAAAACAAAATAAAAATAGTTTTTATTGTCATGTATGTTCAAGTTTTGTTTTATACTTAATTACAATTTATTTTCATTTATGTAAATACGATTCATTGTTTTTATATGATTTTTTACGTACTTTTATTGTAAAAAGAAGTTTTTATAATATGTTACGTACTCTCTTTTGTAAAAGGCTTCTGAAGATCATTGTGATCTTCTTTTAGAAGCCTTGTTTGTGTTTGAAAAAATATGTAATTTATATATTACGTCAAATGTAAACAAACAAACAAACAAACAAACAAAAAAAAAAAAAAAAAAAAAAAAAAGATTTATAGTTTTTTACATAATTTTTTTTTTATAGTATTTTTTATATGTTAGTATTTGTTTTATAGTATTAGTATATGTTAGTATAGCATTTAAAGTATGTTAGATATTTTTAGATTTATAAGTTTGTACTATTTTTTATAATTTTTTTTTCTAATATTTTCAACACAAATTTTGTTTTGCAAAAGCGATAATCTGAAATCTTCCGGAAACAACACTGACGCTTAGGCAATAAAATAATACTATGAAAAAGCGTAAAAAAAAAAAGTTAAAACATTTTACAAGCTCAAAGTTTCAATTTTTATGTTATGCGTCGCAGCGCCTATTAAAATTAGTTATTCATTTGATTTGCTGGAGATACTTATAAATATGTTAATTTTTTAATACTATTAATGTGTAAGTAAAAACATTTCTGGTTAAATAATCATTAAGTATTGATATTTTAAACAATACCATATTGGATAATCATTTAAAATGCTTTAATTTGTGTCGCACGAAATCGTAATCCAATCGTAATTTCAGTATGATTAAAACTTTTGTATAACTCGCTTGCTATTCAATCTGCTTGGTTTTTTAACGATCGTTTATAACCAAAAACTTTTTAATTATGTCGACTCTGTTAACAGAGAAAGAGGTTTCAAATTTGCTGGATTCGTGCATTAAAGCAAAAGAAAATTCGTATTCACCTTATAGCAAATTTCGAGTTGGTGCAGCTCTTTACACTACTTGTGGAAAAACTTTTACCGGTTGCAACGTTGAAAATGTAAGTTACGGCTTGGCAATATGTGCTGAACGAACAGCTTACGTCAAAGCAGTTAGCGAAGGCTATACTTCTTTTAAAGCCTGTGCTGTTTCAACAGATGTCAAAGATTCTTTCACTTATCCTTGTGGTGCTTGCCGTCAATTTATGTCGGAGTTTGGCGATGTTGAAGTATTTTTAACAAATGATGACAAAAATCACACAATAACTACACTAAAAAAGCTTTTGCCTTTTCAATTTTCTGCAGAGGAATTAAAAAATGGTAGCTCTATGTAAACTAAAATATTTGGCATTTATGTAAACTCTATATAGAAAATAATGGAGTGCATTTAGCTCAATATTAATTGACTTTTTTTATTGACTTAGATACTTAAAGTTCAAATTATGAATGTTTTAATGCGATAAGCACAATATTTATCGTTTAGATTAGATACTTAATATCGAATTTTATACAGTTGCACTTTTCTGTGAAACTTACAAAAACTTAAGTAATTGATTTTTTTATTTGGTAAAATAGGAAAATCAATTACTTAATTGATTTTTTTATGAGTCATTAAGTGTAAATAGCAGTTACCAATTTTGCACCAATAAATTGCCATTTTATGCAAATTGAGTTTCTGTAAAAGAAAGTTACTGTTTGGTTTCAGGTTTTTATCCTTATGTTGTGTACTTTGAATTTAATTAATTAGTGTATAAATCAGACATTGCCAAAAATTGAAGTCTGCAAACAAAAAAACAAATTTTAACTTAGTTAATACTTTTTCAGGCATTTGGATTAATAATTTCCCTTAATAACTTTTTAATTATAATTCATTTATAAACTTTTTCTTTACTTTTTTTTAATTAAAATTTTATTTTAAATAAAAAAATCCTTAAGCTTACCTCTTTGTTTAGTATGAAATTAGTGATTTCTAAAATACAAAAAACTTGATGTAATTCTAGGAAGTAGGAAAAGTGGCCATTGACATCCCCCTCTAACCTAAAATAAAATTCTAAATTTATAAAGAATAATTTTACTTCATATAGTTACTATATTATATGTTACATACCTTGCACTGGTATGCAAAGTTGTGTTGTTTTTTCAAATTGTCTTTTATATATATATATATATATATATATATATATATATATATATATATATATATATATATATATATATATATATATATATATATATATATATATATATATATATATATATATATATATATATATATATATATATATATATATTAGACACAAAGATGTCTAGCATACATCTAGCTAAATATCTGTTTTGTGCAGTTGCTTTATTATTTCCATTCTTTTTATTTTCATAATTTTTAATACTTTTTTTCTGCAAAAAACTTTTATTTTTGTTTAGATGGACCCAAATCCCTAAAAAAGAATTCCTATATATGTTTAGAACTTTAGTAAGTAATTTTGTTTTTTTATTTCTATGCTCTAATCATAGAACTTGTAAAACAATAGCAAGATTTGGCTGGTAAGACTTGTAAACATGTACAATAAGTTTCTGTGCATGTCTATTGTTTTTTTGTTTTTGTTTTTTATTTTTTTCTTGTTATCTTGATGCTTTAATAAGTTTGTTTTATATAATACTTTTTATACATTATAATTTATATAATAAAAGTTCATACTGTTCTTTTTTTCTCAACTAACCTGACATTAAATGTCGTGACATTAAGTGATAAATTATTATATTTAGAAATTATTATATTATGAATTAAATGTGGAAGTGTTTTATGATAAAATAAAATATTTACATAACACTGAATTTTTGTTTTTTATTACTGTTTAGCTATTTATTTACTTAAAAGTTTTTAAAAGAACACAAAAGATGATGTTTAGATTTAGTGTTAGTGTTATAGAAGAGTTAGTGGTATGGAAGAGTTAATGGTATGGAAGAGTTAGTGGTATGGAAGAGTTAGTGGTATGGAAGAGTTAGTGGTATGGAAGAGTTAGTGGTATGGAAGAGTTAGTGGTATGGAAGAGTTAGTGGTATGGAAAAGTTACTGGTATGAAAGAGTTAGTGGTATGGAAGAGTTAGTGGTATGGAAGAGTTAGTGGTATGGATTTAAGAGTAAAGAGCTAGTGGTATGGAAGTTAAGGTAAGAAAAGAATGATCTTAGCCAGAAAATTAGAATGGTGAGTGTAGTGGGTGCATCACGGCTGAGATGTAGATCTGCCTTGATGCCTGGACTCTTGGTCTTGGATCTTTCTTGTACTTTCTTGATACTCTCCAAAAATATTAACAAAATAGATGAATTAGTATTTAATAATTAATTGTTTCTACTAAAGCTAGCGTGTTATATGTTGAAAGTTCGTGTGTTAGATATTAAATTGATATAGTTGTCTGATTTGTTTGAGTTGTCAATATAGTTGTCTGATAATAGATATAGTTGTCTGATTTACTTCCTACATGAAGCACTAAAATAGAATATGTAAACTTAACTTCAATTTTTTTTTTCTAATTATAGTTACTATAGTTCCAAATGAGAAGTATGTATGTTTGCTATTCTTAGTTTCACTTTGTGATGATCTTGCTTCATTTTTTATTGATACATTTGGTTTTTAACAATACAAAAATTATTTTAGTTTTCTCTATTATTATTGAAGATATTTTTGGTAGACTGAAATCATTCAGATCATGTCATTCTTTCCCCTTAGGATTGTTTTAATTTATATTATTTGCAGTTTCATGTTACTTTTTAGCTAAGAATAGCTATCAGTTGTTGAGATTACAGTTGAAATAATGCTGATTCAGCATTTTAGTAATAATCTGAAAACCCAATAAAACAACTTCGATATGTAGTATCTTGTTAATGGTTTAAACGAGTTTGCTAAAACTTAGAACTTTTATATATTTTTTCATTTTTTTTTTTTAAATTATCTTCGCTTCCAACAAGGCTGCAGACAACCACTAATTAGTGTTGGAAGTTACTGAAAGAGAAAAGATGAAGATTGTAGAGCAAGATAACGATTGAGAGACGACTTAAAAGATTGCAAATTATATGAATCAGGAAAGCAAGATGAAAAAAGCGAATTCCAAAGAACTGATGTTCAAGGAAAAAAACTAGACAAATAAGAGTTTTTGGAGCACTTAAGAACAGTAACAGAAAAAGGATGAGACTTATTTGAATGAACTTTTGTAAATGGCACAAGAGACACTAGCTCTTTCGAGCAGTGCCCATTATAGTATTTGTAGAAAAGAAAAAGAGAAGCAACATTACGACAATGTGACAGAGGTTGGCTGCAAGAGCAGGTCCAACTATGTTTACAATGTATGTTTGCACCTTGTCTAAAAGAGAAAGGGCATCATTAGAAGATCCGCCCCAGATATGGCAACAGTATTCCATACAAGGCCGGATTTGAGATTTATAGAGATAGAGAATAGAATCCAGAGTAAGAAAGTGACAAGCTCGATAAAGAGAAGCAACTTTAGCAGATGCTAATTTTGCAACGGATTTGATATAAGGTTTCCAAGAAAGATTAGAAGTAAGAGTTAATTCTAGAAGATAAAGGGTAGGAGACTCATTGAGTACATTACCATTCATAAATATAGAAAGGTCTAAATTATTGCGATAACGATTGGCTGAAAAAAAAAAAGTTTTATCTGAATTAAAGTTCACGAACCACTGTGAGCCCTATGCTGTAGCAGAAGTGAGATCCTTTTCAAGCTCAGATGCCCCCTGCAAGCAATCAGAGGGAGCTGGCTTTTTATCGTGACAAGAATAAATGGTAGTATCATCAGCGAACAATGCTACCTTAGATGTGAGAATATCTGGAAGATCGTTAATGTAAATTAAAAAGAGCATAGGGCCAAGGATTGAACCTTGGAGAACCCCTGAGGTTACAGAATAAGAAGTAGAGTGCTGTCCATCAAGGACAACTTTTATACTACGAGTGGAAAGAAAGGATTCAATAATCTTAAAGATGTTTCCAGATACACCGTAAGAAGAAAGCTTATGGAGGAGACCAGCATGCCAAACTTTATCAAATGCTTTAGAAATGTCAAGAGCAATGGCCTTAACCTCTCCACCTTTATCTAATGCGCAATAAAACCTATCGGTTTTATTACTGATATTTATTACTGATAGCAAATCAGCCGTAGAATGAGAAGATCGAAATCCATATTGATGATCAAAAAGTAGGTTATGAGATTCGAGATAAGAGATTAAGTGTTTGTTAAATATAGGTTCAAAAACCTTGCTTTTGATAGGAAGAAGACTAATAGGATGGTAGTTAGATGAATCAGATTGCTCTCTTGAATTTTTAAAAATAGGGATAATAGATGCTGCTTTCCAGCAGGCTGGAAAACAAGACTCTGATAAGCACTTGTTAAATAGTTTTGAAAGGATAGACGACAGCTCCGGAGAACACTTCTGCAAGACTATAACAGGTATGTTGTCCGGGCCGCAAGCTGTAGAAGAGTCTAGGCAGGAAATCACTTTAGATACAGAAGCTGGAGTGATACAATGTTGAGCAATGGATCAACCTGTTTGACGGCTATATCAGGTAGAACGCAACTAGTGGCATCAAGAGATGATATTGATGCAAAGTTCTTGGCAAACAATTCAGCTTTGTTTTTAGGTGAGGTGACAAAGTCTGAACCATACAAAAGAGGTGGAATTACAGACTTGCCCTTATTATTGATACTATTAAAGATTCTCCAGAAGTCACGAGAGCCTGATTTTTGTGATGAAATACCAGATTTCGTGATCTGAGAATAGCGGGCTTTGGTATTAGACAAAACTTTTTTACAATGGTTCCTAGCAGTAATAAACAGACATCTGTTTTCTGGAGAATTGTTTTGCTGAAAGATATGGAAGAAATGGTTTCGATTGGCAATTGCAGCAGCACAATGTGAGGAAAACCATGGAGAAGAGTGAGGCTTGACCTGGAATCGTCGAGAGGGAATAAAGGATTCCATGCCAGCCTGAATCCACGAAGTTATGTAAGAAGCACATTTGTCAACAGGGAGACGAAAGATTTCTACCCAGGGGCCATCACAAAGAAAATCAGGGAAAGAGTCCCAGTCAGCATTAAGGTAGTTGTAAGATGTACGATGATAGGGGGATTCTGATGGTAAAGAAGAATGAGATAATAGTTTTAGAGAGACCAAACTATGATCAGAAGCACCTAAGGGTGAGTGTGAAGAAACTGAGCACTGACTAGGATCAGAAACAAGACATAAGTCGAGTAGAGAAGGTAAATGATTTGGATTGTCTGGAAAGCGAGTTGGAAAGTTGACTATTTGAGTTAGGGATTGAGAAAGACAAAAGTTGTGGGCCTTAATGCCTGCAGAGTCACTGACACTAGAGCCAAGCCATTCAGTGTGATGAAC